GATGATAGTCTGATCAGAGTGAGAATGTGAGTGAAGGAAAATGGGTGTTTCTGCTGCAGTGAGAAACAGAATTGATAGGGGTTTTTGATGGAAATTCAATCTACTCTTTATTCATCTCAAACGTCTTTAAATACAAAAGGAATTAACAGACTTTCCTACTTCTACGATAACATGATGGAATCAAATCTAAAAAATCAGATAACTTAAAACAACTTACAACGACTAGAAATCCTAACTGAAGAACAAATTCAATGACTGGAAATCCTAAGAGAAGATTTTTCTCTGTTGACTGCTTCTGTCTTGACTCTTTCTTCTGCCTGCTTCTGGTCCCCTTTAATTCATAAATTTCGGGTTCTTACATGGCAGTCTTGTTGACCTTCGTGGCTTATCATCACTCCTCCCCTTTTTTAAGAACCTTATCCTCAAAGTTCAACGAGCTAAATTGTTGCAGCTATTCTTGTATGGATTCCCAAGTAGCGTCTTCAGCAGGTAATCCTTTCCATTAAACCAGGCTTTTTTCTACTAGCTTAGCTCCTCGTTTTACCCAATGTGTATCCAGGATCTCTTCTGGTCGGAGAATGACGTGGCCCTCCTCTGTTGTGGCTGACAGCTCTTTTGTGGGGAAAGTTGAATCACCTATTTTTTGCTTAAGCAATGATATGTGGAATACATGGTGAATGCGGGATCCTACTGGCAGCTTGAGTTTGTAGGCCACAACACTGATGCATTGGTCGATTTGGTATGGTCCATAGAAACGACTGATCAGTTTTTGCATTGCTCTCTTAAAAACAGACTGTCGGCGGTACGGTTGAAGTCTAAAAAAGATCCAATCTCCTTGAAACTCAATATGTCATTGTTTTTTATTAGCTGTTTGTTGCATGCGATTGTTTGCGGAATGGAGATTAGCCTTGAGTTGTTGTAGAAGGTCATTTCTTTCTATCAATTGGTGGTCAACTTCATGAACTAGTGTCATACCTTTCTAGTAAAATGGAATGATAGGTGGGGCTCGCCCATAGAGGGCCTAGAAAGGTGTTATCCCAATAGAGGAGTGGTAGGTGGTATTGTACCAAAATTCTTCCTATGGGAGAAGAGAATGTCATTTTCGGGGTCGTTGATTCGCTAGGCACCTAAGATACTGTTCTACACACTGGTTGACCACTTTGGTTTGGCCGTCTGTTTCTGGGTAGTAGGCAGAACTCACTTTTAATTGCGTTCCAGACCTGTTGAAGAACTCATTTCAAAACTTGCTGATAAAAATAGGGTCTCTGTCACCGATTATTGTTCTTGGCATGCCATGCAATTTCACCACACCTTCTATGAATTTCTTGGCTACTATCTTGGCAGTGTAAGGATGGGATAAGGCTAAGAAGTGAGCAGTTTTGCTTAGGTGATCAACCACCACCAATATAGTATCGTTACCATTAGAGCTTGGTAGACCTTCTATGAAATCCATAATGATGTCGTCCCATACTTAGTAGGGAATGGGTAGCGGCTGTAGGAGTCCAGCTGGTGAGAGAGTCTTAGTTTTAGCTCTTTCAAAGTTTCACATGTTGCCACATAGCGTTGGACTACTTGCTTCATTGCGGGTCAGTAAAATTGTTGCACCAGTCGTTTGTAGGTTTGCAAAACTCCCGAACCCCCAACTGAGAGTCGTGGTATCGGTGGAGCAGTTGGGAAATAATCTTGGATCTTGGTGGAATCATGACCCAATGTTTGTAATGAAGCAGTCCATTTTTCTATTGATAGGGCTCCCTGGGTGATCATGAGCCATAGTACTTATCCATTGCATATGTGGGTGTTCTGTTGTTTCCTTTCTGATATCTTTCCAAAGGTGGTGCTCACAGACAAACAAGGCATCTAATGAAGGTCCGTCAACCTGTCTGGAAAGTGTATTTGCGGCCTTATTTTCTTTCCTTTATTTGTAGACAATCTCATAATCATATCCGAAGAGTTTGGATATCCATTTTTGTTGTTCTGGCTTTGTGATGCGTTGGCTTAAGAGGTGTTTGAGGCGTCGGTGATCTGTTTGAATCAAGAACTTGTGGCCCAACAAATATGGTCTCCAAGTTTAAATTACTACTACGATTGCTAGCATTTCCTTTGCGTATGTTGACCATGCTTGCTTGGCAAC